GATCATCCTCCCATTAGAGAAGGATTCATCTCCTAGAGTCATCCACCCATTGCTGGGTGAGGGCATGATTTATATCACTTACTGAAAGTTGGGTGATGCAATGATGACTCTAGTCAGGAAATGACCTACCATTTCCTCTGTAGAACACTAACTATTCCTCTGTAGTATTTTTATGTTGTTTTCATTTATTTTGACTGACAAATGCCTTGTGTTTCCTAGAAGCAGAAAGGTGGAATAGATACAGATGAATGATACCTATGTTGGTTTTGATAACAATATTCCATTATTACTCTTGGACACACCACCTTCCAATTCCATTTTTTCCCCAAAAGAAACCAACTCATAAAGCAAATAAATTGATGATAGACAATTTGTTCAATAGTTCTTTATTCAAATTTAAGATTGCTGGAACTTTATTTAAAATGTCATTTAAAGTCAAACTTCTTATGAGAAGATAATAGAAGATGAACATTCACATCAATTTTTGAAAAGAATTCCAGGAGGGCCTGGAAAATAAGAGGCCAGTAGTGTAACTTACTAGGAAGCATTATTGAGGCTGTATTTTATGTATAAACCTCACTGAGAGGAAAAAAAACTCCTCCATACAGCAAGTCTTATGAGAAATATTTAAAAAAATAGAAAAAGAATCAATAAAACCTTTACGTCAGGGAACCTCCTTGAAAGTTTATGTGAAAAGGGTATAAATGGAAAACAGTTTTTGGACTAGTGAAATTCAATTCTTCTTGGTCTAGATTTCATTTAATTTCTTGAAATTTAAGACATAATCTGATAAGATGGAAAATAGGTTGAAAAAGTGATAGAATTGGCAGAGATGGCAAAGTTAACTTTTAATTAGGGGGAAAAATATAACTAGCTTTGTTTTCCACCTGGAAACAGCTTCTGGACTTTCTGCTTGAAAGAGATAAAAATGAAATTTTGATTTTGGGTTTTGATGATTAAATTGCTTTGAAGCCAGAAGGGTGGCAAACAAATTTAATAAATTTAATAAATAAATAGATTGTTATAAAGGTGGCTTACTATTCTTATATAAGTAAAAAGTTCAGATTATTATTTGACTATATAATTTACTACCCTGAAAAAAGTTGGAAGTCACTGTCTTCTTTTCCCCTTTCCCTCACTCTCTTCCCTTCCTATTTTTCCATAATGTCTTCATTTTCATTGTATTTTATATTAAGAAAAAAAAACTATTTTAAAAAAAATGTATAATCCAATAAGGAAGACAAAGCATCTGAGAGATTACTTGGTTTATCACCACGGAAAGGAAAGAATGTTCCAGCAAAAAAAATGGCTGAAAGGGTGACTGTGAATAGGTGACTAGGTGGCAACCTAGTCTATTGGGGTCAGAGGAAAATTCATATGTCTGTAATTTGACTTAATTCATTTATTTGGGCTAAACTGGCAAGAGATATGTCTTACATCAGAATCTCCAAATTATGCCATCTGGGTTGTAAGGTTTTGTGACAGAGGGCAGACATCAGAAAACTTTTGCTGCTTCAATTTTGCATGCTGCTTTGTTAAACATTTTACAAATATTTTAGTATAAGTAGTATGTTAATGGTTTATAAAAGCTTAGTGTTTCTGTGACTGATCTCTAATGTAGAACAACATTTTGAGGCACAAAGAAAATTAAGTCCAAAAGTCATTTCAAGTAGCAAAGTATTACATTATTGCTTTATTAATCATAGTTAGTGTAAGCCAAACTTGACTATGTTCAAACATTACACTAAGCCCAACACACAACCAGGAATTATCTCTTCTTGCAAAGATCAAGCTGCACCACCTAGTACAGGTATTCAGTTATTTCTCCAGTACAATTTGGACAAAAGAGATGTTCCTCATTGCTGATGACAAGTTCTATGTGCAAATATTATCAAAATAGGACTTATGGCTTGGTGTGATGTATGTATCCAGCCAAAGTACTGAATATTGATTGCTGTGTTTGACTGACAGCCATTCTCTGGTGTGCTAAAGACATAGAAGCTTATTCCGGCTCTCTTACTGGGATTCTTTTAGTTGGGGAGCAAGAGAAGTATTGACGCTAGCAACCTCTGAATTTAAAGCATGTCCTCTACTTATTGACCTATTGCCCCTATTTGCTTTATAGACTTGATAAGTTAGAGTAAACAACAGCTGGTTTAGAAACTCTTTTGTTCATTTCTTGAAGCTCCCTACTATCTTCGTAACAATCTCTAAATGTAGCCCAAATGTTAACTGCCTGCTGTGCTGATTCTGGAACATCTCAAGCTATGGCATACCATGATAGATCAAAATGCAGATCATTTCCTGTTTCAGCTGAATGATGGCATTCATAGTTTAGCCCAATGGCCTTTGACTTAGTTATCAGTTAACCTCTTTGGTTGTCTCCCTCCTCTAAAAACCCAAATTCTGTTTGATCCTTCAATTAAGCTGTTGAAGCTGAAACACTGTTTGACTAACTACAGCTGTTCCCTCAATTTATAGCTGATAGTTCTATGTTTACATATTCTTCACTGCCATCTTATGTTGCTAAGAGGACAGAATATTAAGAGACTGAAATATTTTCAAACACTATTTTTTGTGCCCATAATTTCCTTAAAAACATGGTTTGGTCACAATCTTTTTAGGTTTCTTAAAATGCCAAGATAGTTTATTCTCCACCAGTTGCTTGGGTACTATATTCTTCTGAAACCAGTGTCCAAATTGTGTAGGGTCTGGTGGCTAAATGGGTTGTCATTTTTTTTTTGTCAGAGTACTGTTCTTTAACAGCTTTGAAGTATGGAGAGGCACTGATAGGAAAAGCTTCAGCTGTTGAATTTTATCTACCATATGACACTTGAAAAATAAGAGGGATCTTACCTAAGGGAAAACATCCATCAGTCCTGATATGAAGAGAACCAGCCTGTCTGATATGAACTGCAAGGTTACAAAATGAGAAAACCCCTCAACTATGCAAGCCTGCCAATAGAAAGTCATTCACTTTTCTTCATCCTGTGTTTTCATCTTAGTAATAGACTGGTAACAACATTAAATGATTATTCCCCTTTTGGAATTTATTTAACTTAATTCAAAAGGAGCTTTGAAATCCCATTTTGATAATTGTTGACTGTGAGGAACTAAATTGAACTAATATATTGGGGAACTAATTTTTTTCTCAGAACCATTAAATAACCTACTTATTATCCTCCACCAACAGCAGCCATTTTATTTAAAGCTCACTTACTATACTAATTTCTGATGTTTCCTCCTAATGAATTTCTATTCCAGTATCCAAGGCTTAAATACAGTTCATTCTGTGTTTTATCAAAACAAATTGTACAATTTTAGTGCTCCTTCCTCATAATATGCACTTTTACCTGCTCTTTTTTCATATTTGGTATGCTTGCAACGTTAAGCTAAATACAGTTGCTAGAAAAGCAGTTACATCAGGGGTGTCAAACTCACAACGTCATGTGATGTGTCACGATGTATCATCACTTTTTTTCCCATTGCTGGCAATGGGGTGGGCGTGGTTTTGGCGTGGCATGATGCATCTGGCCCGCGGGCCGGCAGTTTGACACCCCTTACATTGATTTCAGGAGTAATAAGATCCACCTGATCTTATGTGGAACTCATCTTGGCTGATCTGGTTATATCAAACAGTTCAGGCATACAAAGCTCAGTGGAGAATAGTGCTAGAAATGCATTCCTGTGGTCCCAGCCACAACTGGCTGGACCTGTATTTGTCAGTCATAGTGCAGTTGAGAGCAAATGGCTTATTTCCTTCATATACTCAAACCTGGTCTGAAGGGATGGGGAACTCTCCAGAGATATTTTAGATTGCAGTTTTTTTAAAACAATGGGACACCTGTTCACAGACCATTGGAAGTAGATACACCTCACTATTCATTTTCCTGAATGCCAGCCTGCCAAAGAGGCTAGTTGCCCTCTCCGCCCAAAATTATTCAGTTTGCCTTCATCGTTTTGCACTTGTTTTGTTCACTTTTCAATATATTGAAGGATTTATATCCAGGACTGTGCCCAGTAGAAATTTATGAGTGTTTATTTTATTAAGAACCAATATTTTATGTGCAAGAGTTAAGACTCACAAGTGTGTTTGGGGTGTTTGATGGTGGGTAGCTCTGAGTTGAATCTAACACAACCACTTTGTAAAGTTAGACGTATATAGAAAATGGTTTCAATAGAAGAGAATATCTATAGCTATTAGTGCGCTCTGAGCTTGGTTATTTGCTTGCAGCCATTTCAGTACCCAACTAGCTAATTCATTATCAGAGTATGATTTTTTTTCCCTGAATCAATAGGCAGAAATATTTTTTTTAAAAAAATCTGGGATTCCGTAATCAAACCCAATTCCTACCAATTTTTATCATTCACAAGAGGTGGGGTGTTGTTGTTGTTTTTCATTTTTGTCCCTGCTGTGTTTAGCAAGACACACACCTGCTGCTTTGTCTCTACAAGCACTCTTGTTTTGAATTATCACTCATACTTTTGAAGTTCGGGTTTCTGATTTTGAGCACGTTGACTCACAGGCAAGTCCCAATGTTTTGCTTGAAATGTGTATAAGATTGCATAGAGTTTTATATTTTCTGTAAACCGGTCTAAAACCAGGATAGGGTTTCCGAGTCAGCCCTGGTAGCCGCCTCATACTCTGCTGAAGTTGAAACAACTTATACTGTACAGCCATTTCTTTTGAAAAACCTAAACCTCCTTTTTCTCTCCCCCCCCCCCCCCCCCCCCCCCCCCCCCCCCCCCCCCCCCCCCCCCCCCCCCCCCCCCCCCCCCCCCCCCCCCCCCCCCGCCCTCCCTCCCTCCCTCGCTCGCTCGCTCGCTCGCTCGCTCGCCCCTTTAGACGGTGCTGCTTTGCCATTTGCACCCCTGGGCAGCAATTATCCCCTTTCCCAGCTCCTGCCTACCTCTTTTGCACTGTGGGATGCTTATTATTCACAGAATGACAATGCTCCTTTGATCATTGACTAGCTGTCTGAACCATGTGACCCTGCGAGGGGCGGGCCTTCGGTAGTAACATAGCCAGGAGCATAGAGAGTTTCAGCTGCTTGGGTAAGTCTCCTCAAAACTGCCTTTGTTCTTTGAGATAGAATTCAAACTTTTGCTGCTCCCCCCCCCTTACAATCTGCTGCAGATAGTTTCTGCTAGCCTTTTCCTTCCCCTCCCTGGCTTCAGGTTGCTCTGCCATTCTGGCTTTGTGCAAGGGAAAGGAGGGGGTGAGCAGGAAGGGTGGGCTGGGTTGGAGCAAGGGAAGAAATCCTTGTGTTTCGTGGGCTTTTTTTTTTTTTTTTTTATGACAAAGCCATTGGTGTGGGTTGGAGGAGGGGGGAAGGGAAGGGAAGGTTCTGGGTTTCTTTCCCATTCAGGTTGTGGGGGTGTTTGGCGCGTAATTTGGGTTGAAAGGTATGTACAGGTTCTTGCATTTTTACATACACTAGCAGAAAGCCTTTGCAGCCTCATGCTTGGAACTCCGTATCCAGAGACACGGTCTGGAGAATGCAGCTTTCCATGTCTTAACCAGATTTCTTTCTGAAGGAAGAAAAGGGCTTTGTGCCTCACAGCTATCTCTTTGTAAATATTTGGCCAATACAGCCGAGTGTGCTAATTTCTGCTTTTTTTTCTTCTTTCTTTCTCTGCTTCCCCCCCCCCCCTACTCTGCCCAGTGTGTTGTATTCTAAAAAGGAGAGGCAAGTCTCAACTGTAATTCCCCCACCATCCCTCTCTCCCTCCCTCACTCCCTTTCATTCCTTATTCCTGTAATGAACCATCTGGCTTGAGAAAGCAACAATATGGGGTGCCTGGCTTTTCCAGATTTGGTCGAACGTAAACCCTGAACTTCTACGTGTCTTGGCTTTTAAATTCTGCCGTTTCTCTATGAACTCTTTTTTTTTTTTTTAACCATTGAGCTGTATGTACTAAATGCAGCAGTGTTGCTGGGGTTTTGTCATTTCTGTGGGGGTTTCATGAAATACAGCCAGGGATATTCCTATGCTTTTTTTTTTTTAATTAAAAAAATGTGGTTTAGGGGAAGGAAGAAGGCAAATATGTAAGGAAAGTGTTTGTCCTAAATTTCCTTAGAACTGATGATTGTCTGTGGGACATTCTATACTTATAACAGTGTATTCAACATCGCTTTTTGTTTGAATGGGGAGAAGTTGAATGTAACCACAATTTCTGTGCCATTTATATATTCTTAAACAATGTAGCAAGTATTCTGACTTTGCAAAACTAATTTTGTCCTGAGTAAACTTTACAGTGAAATCTAATGCTGGGGGAAGTAACAAGGCCTATTGTAGGTTAATTGGGTATAGGGGCAGGATTGCCATCCGCCAACTCACCTTCTTTCTCTTTCCACCTAAAAACTCTGCTAAACTTTGAGTACATAGTGATGTACATAGTCGTGATAGTTGCATGGACTACACAAAAATATGGAAACTGCAATAAATTATATTGCAAGTGCAGAGCTTAAAAAGGGCATACAAAGTATAGAAGCATAAGGTGAAACAAAATACAAAATATTATTATTTGTGAGGTGAAGGGCTGGGGACAAGAGAATCTGGGATTTCCAGGAATGTGCTAATTCAAATTATTGAAATGGAGATTAACTGTTGCATTCTGCAGCCACTTTCCGTCAATTGCACAGAGAAGAACTTCAATAGTTCTTAAGATACCTCTGTCTTTAAAAAAAACAAAAAACTTTTCCAGTTCATCTGGAGAGATTCTGAATCAATTACCTCTTCTCTAGTGTTTTTTAAAAAAAACCCATAATGTCTTTCTTTAAATCTTTTTACATTTTAAATTTTGTGGAAGGAAAGAATCTTGACCATCTGCTCAGGTCAATATCTGAATTTATTTATTTATTTTGTTCCCTCCTGTACTTCAAATTCTTGATTGCAAGATCTTTGAGGCTTTGAAATGTATACTTAGCTCACAAACATGGGATGTCCTAGACCAGGAGTAGGCAACCTTGGCTCTTTTATGACTCGCTGGCTCAGGAATTCTGGGAGTTGAAGTCCACGAGTCATAAAAGAGCCAAGGTTGCCTACCCCTGGCCTAGACTCTAGGAATGCAGGTCATATGCTAGGCTTTATTCTCATCATCTGTAATTTGCCTAGATGTTTTGATTGCCACAGCATAACTTGTATTTCCAAAGCTGTGGAGTGTTTTTGGAAAAAAAATACTGGAGAGAGAATACTCTTTTGGGGCACTCTCTATAGTTCTTTTCACAATCTAGATACCATTGCTTACCACTTGTCCCTTCTTGAGAGGGGCATGATTAAGATGCTGGATTTTCAAGCCCTACAAGCAGTGGTAGTCTGCTTCAAGGGAATAAATATTACCGGTAGCTTATTGTTGACTTCTCTGAATTTATGAGATTTGAATTACATTTCTGAGGAGGTCCCACACCTTACAGAGAGAATGCTCTGATTCCTTTATGTAATGATAGTTCAAGTCTATGCTAATAAAACCGAAGGTGCACTTTTGTCTTCCAGTTTTCTGTGCATGGAAGAAACTACCTCTTGAGTGAAGAGGCTGCTGAACAAGGAAGAGAGTGAAAATAAGGCATGTCAAGGGCAATACAGTGTTTGCTAGATTTTTGTTCTACACATGCTAATCTCCAAGCTTTGGTGTAAGTTCAGTGAATGTGGCATGGAGCATGCAAGTAAAACTCTCTCTAGCTAAGCACCAATGGCAGGTTCCTCAGATCATAGAAAGCCTCCATAATAAAATGCACATATAGCATAATGCCCATAATGTGCTTCCTGTAAAATTTCAGAGACTAATTCTAGTACTAGAAGAGGTTGTGCCAGGAAATACCATATGATTCAATATCTGAAAATGATTGGTGCATGATACACAGATCTCCTGTCAAGGATTTTTAAACATGTATATTCAGCCTGTGGGAACATAGCAGGGTTATTCCTGAGTAAGCATGCTCAGGAATAACGTGGGGAAAGGGCCCTCTTGTTGAAGATGTTTGCAGATTAGATAATCTGGTATTACTGGGGTGGGGGTTGGGGGGAAGAACCAGAATAATAATTTGTATTCAGTTTCAGATTTATCTGACTAGAAATATGCAGAAGTAATAATACTAATCCTGGTGTAAAAAACACCCATTTAATAACGGTAAGAAAATATATTCCTTGTCTTTTTCCATATATTTATTTGTGTTCTTTGTGAAATGTTACTATTTTCCTATAATACTTGGCTAATCTTAATGGGCTCTCAAAAGCTAAGCAGAGTTGAAAATAGTTTGCATTTAGGTGGAAGACTCAGAAAATCCTAGTGCTGTGGATAGTTAAAACAGAATAAGGCATTGGAAACCGCGTCCATATTTTGCCAAAGAAACTACATGGAAGTGTCATGTGGTGACCAGCAGTTGAGTTAAATCTTCCTCTTTGTCCAGATAAGTGGCATAACTTTAGCTGATCTGAAAAGCTAAGTGGAGTTGGAACAAGTTCATACTCAGAATGTGACACTATCCCCCAGGATATACCATGACTATAGAGAGTGAGAAATAAAAAAGAAAATATCAGAGAAGAAGGAAGTGGCAAGCTACTTCCGTAAATAAAGGCCAGCATCTGACATGAGTGGTTTTCAGTTAATGCCTCCTTTGTGTGCTTTTAAAAAAACAAGCAAAATATTAAACAGTAGGATGCTCTAGAAAGGGAGCAAACAAAATTAAAGTAGGAAAAAATGGAATTAAGTACATGGGATGAAGACCCAAGTATAGTGTTATGTATTTGTTTCACAGTGTGGATATGAAGCAGGAATGCGATGGGAAATGGTACAAGCAGAAACATAAGATAATAGTGCTACTATTATAGTGCTATTATTGATTATTTCTATGTTGGATCTCTGAACCCAAAGATACAGTCTCACTGGAAACTATTCACCTAAAAAGAGGCTTGAGATGTACAAAGACTTAATCACAGATGTACTTTAGCCTTAGGCAGAATTTTCAAAATGGGAACATGAATGACAACTTCAGGGAAGACCACAAAAACTGTATTAGTAAAGACACAATCACATTTTGGCCTTAAAACAAGAGATAACTCTGTTGTGATCTGGCAAAAAGGAAGTATTTCTCTGAAAGTTTTAGGTCTTGCAAAATAAGATTAGAAAGATAAAAATAGATTCATTCAATTTATATTACCACACATCTTCAAACGAATGACTTTGGGCAACTAATAATTAAAAATACATACATACATACATATATACACACACGCACACGCACACGCACACATATATATATAGGCAGCTGAAATTTAAAAAAATAACATGTAGACTATACAAATATTTTAACAAAGCTAATTTACATTCTGACCTCCAACCTAATTGTGTGTATTAGCTGAACCAAATGAACAAAAGGGTGGGTATAAAAAAATGAACATAAGTTTTGATATAATGCTGGACATATTATATTTGTTAAAATTTCAAAAGCAAGGGAAATAACAAGGGCTGGCTAAAAAGTGCTTGTAAGCTCAGAGCAAATCTTAGAGAGCCATTTTGGTCTATAGTTAAGATACCAGACTAGATACCAGGAGATTCTGAGTTCTAGTTCTGCCTTAGCCATGAAAGCCAGCTGAGTGACTCCAGGCCAGTCATTCTCTCAGCCCCAATCCATCTCACAGGATGATTGTTAGTGTGGGGAAAATGGGAGGAAGGAGGAGTATTTCTATGTTCACCGCCTTGAGTTATTTATAAAAATAATAAAGGTAGGATATTAATTAATTTGGGATCGGGAACTAGGTGCCTGTGTTTAGGAGAAAGACTAAATTATTATGTATGCATAAGTTCAGTATTGAGAGTTGAAAGTTTGTGAGGCAGATAGAACAGTATGAGTGAGTTCAACTTACAGAAGTTACAAGTTAAGTGAAACTTTTCAAGATGTAAAATGGTATGAAATGAGATATCTTGAGAAAGTATGGGGCATCCTGCTTTGCTCACTTTGGAAGAAAACTGAACATGCTATGTCGAATGTAGATCTTAACTGATGTATTATAAAATGGACTCTAGTCTTAATTCTTTGGGCTGCTTGGAACATC